ATATATGAATGAAAACATGATAATGCTCATTAAAACCAGGTACAAAAAAAAACAAGTCACTAGGATACGGTACAAACTGTAGGACCTGACCAAGGCATTTATCCAGAATACAGTCAGGGAGAGCATTGACCTCAGTTAGAGCTTAGACACACATTGACCTATTTTATAAAAAAAAAATACTTTGATGGGTTCTATTCATTTATTGATTTGTTTAGATATTTATTTCTTGTCTGAGATGATATGCATGCTTTCATGGCATTATTTTTTTATGAGTTGGTACGTGACCAAATAGTTTTTATATGACATGCATGGGCCACTGTTGTGGTCCACAGATGATCATTGTTCCTGTGTGCAGGACCATGCCTTCAGCACTTCTTTGATGACAGAGGGAAAAAAAAAAGCTCCAATTGACCAAGTGATGTCAAAGACAGATTTTAGTCATATATTTATTTATTTGTGTGTTTATTTATTTGTGCATTTATGTATTTATTTATTTATTTGTGCTGTTTGACTCAAGATCTGAGCTCTACTATTTCACCTGCAGTATCACTACATCATGTTACAACTTCAAGAAGTGGCTAATTCTGATTTCAACAACCTCAAAGACTGATTTTACATCTGTCTGATGCTGATTAACTATTCACAACGATGCAGTACAAAACTAAAGCCTTATGTATATTTGTAATTATCAACTCACGTTACTCTGTTCTAAAAATATCTTTGTTAAAAGATCGTTTGAAAAAAAAAGATGCCAACTTGAGGTTCCTCTTTGATACAACACTCCCTGTTAAAACAACTGCTCAATCAGATACGTACTCAACAATGCACATTCCTTGAAGTCACTATAAATTGCTGCTAATTTGTAACGAGCCATCTGTGATTTATCTTTAATCTCAGATTAACTGCTTGCTTAAAATGTCGGTTTCGGTTTCTAAAACTTTACACCCCTCCTCCTTATTTTCCCATTATGCTGTGTATGGGTCAACAGAGCTCTGATCTTGTTCAACTGATGTGTTCTACCGAGAGCAAAATTCAATGAAAACAGCACTATGTCAACAAAAAGAGTTATACTATCATTTCTTTCAGTGCTGTTATCAGTGGTTTTATTTCTAAAGCTCAGTAGTGCTAGAAATCACATCTTACTTCATACGGTTTTCAAAGTATTCTGGAAATCTGTTTCCCAATTTCAGCACATATGGAGGGTGGGGAAATGAATGTTGCTTATTAAGCTTTGCCAGGGTCCTGACGAGCTAAGCTTCTGATTGGGCAGTGTGCTTTAGGCTCCCGCCCCCGTCTCTCCAGACTGCACCATTCTCTGGTCCCCTGGACTCTTTTTTTGTAATTTTAAATGAATGATGCGTCTCAGCTTAGCCCAATAATAAAGCACAGTCTAGAATAAAGTGCCCTGTGTCGTGTCATAATTACTGATAGAAACTTATCAATACAAGATCGCTCATGTTTCCCTGTGAAAAAAAAGTGTCCCCTTTGAGGGTAATGTCTGTCATCGATAGTTTACATCATAAATATATGATTTCAGCAGGAAGATGGGTGATGAAACCAGTGGCTGGATGCTAGTGGTGAATCTCTATAACACTATGCATAATACATTTTAGTAAGATTGACAAAACACATGAGGATCATTTAGCATTTATGCTTTCAAGGTCTTCAGACAATCACATAGCTCAGTGGTAAACAGTTATCCTGCGGCAGAAAGTGAAGATTTCAAATTAAAGACCAGGAGCATAACCTCTTAATAAATAATTGTTTATTTTTATTGAAAATTACAACATAACACAAGGTCATTCTTGATCATTCTGATTTCGAACGTGATTGGAAAAGTTAATATCAAACGGGCAAATGTCAGGTGACTGGAATCTTGTCCTTTGTACATTTTCTTCTTTGTCAGTAAATGAAGAAAATATCCTCCAGTATTTGGCTTTCCTCCAGGTCCTGCTGGGTACTTTGTGGATGAGGTCTAGCAGGGGTAAGCAGGGTTCTGCCCATTGGTTTAGGGGTAGCAGATGTTGGAATATGTTGGGTGATTTTGGTCCTTCGAGTGGACGGCTTGTTGTGCTCAGGGGCAGAGACCGGACTAAAGATATCCAATAACTCAACCAGAGAAAAATCCAACCTGAAAGAATAAAAAAAGCTGTTTTTGTTGCTTGATTCATTTTATCTCCACCCCCCTATGTGACTTCAGCTTATTTTCATGGTTAAGTTGGCATAGGCTTTAATACAGAATGCAGTGGAGCCCTGTTAACAGGCGACGTTGCAAATGAGCATCCTTGTGCCGTTTCATTGTAAGAAAAGCACACAGACCGCCAGTTACACTACCTTCCACTTTAAAGTGAGTAAGGGCAGGTCTAACAGACATGCACAAGGCTTAAGTCTCCTTAAAGATCAACGCTTGTTCTAAAATATTTGTCATTCACCTTTCACTTGTTAACACAGACAATAGAAAAGAAAATCTCTCTTCAAAATGTTAACAAAATCTTTGTTGTCGAAGTACCTACTGAACCTTAACAAGCAGCCTTAACAACTCAAAACCGCTGGGGCGTCCCAGCAGAAAAACAGTTTCTTGCAGGTGCAAGAGAAAAAGAGGAAGAGAACCCGGTGCTTTCTGCTCTGGAATAGAAATGAGGGAATGTGCAGTGAAATAAATAAACCAAAACGGGGGAGATTAAGCTAATAGAGATTCAATCCCTCAGTCTGGCTGGCTGATAAATTATTCAGTGTATACACAGTCGACAACGGCCATTCTAGATACAAAACATGAATTCTTTAAAGCACGCTCCACCGATGTTGCTAACATAATTCTCTGCTCGTTTAAAGCTGCATCGATTTGCATTGCGCAGCTCACCCAGGTAAGGGAGATCTTTGGCGTGTACTTGTTGATATGCATGTAGGTGGTCAGCAGGCAGCAGACACAAGGGTGCAACTTCCAAACAGGCACATTTGTGTTCCCCCACACGTAACTACAGACCTTGATATGTCATGTTCTTACATTGATCGGAGGAAGCGGCACAAAGCAGCGGCTGAGAAGCTTTAAAATGCTTTATTCGGCTTGAGAAACATGAAGTAATGTATGCATATGTTTGAGCGTGAGAGGGAGAAATTTAATGAGGGCGAAGTTGGAAGAGGATGATAACAGATAAAAAGAGACTGAAGCTAAAGTAAGTAAATCTGTCTTCCTCATTTGGTCTCCTGCCTGTCAAAAGCAAAGGGGATAGAGAGAGAGAGAGAGAGAGAGAGAGAGAGAGAGAGAGAGAGAGAGAGAAAGAGGGCGAGCGAGCATGAGCCAGAGTGTATGTCCTGCCTGTAAGAGAAAGACTGGGAGCGAGAGAAGCTTTGTGGATAGAGACGATGGCAGGAAGAGAATATGGAGGAGGGACTTTGGCTGGGTTCCGTCTCTCGAAATGTGAGAATTTGCATTTTTATTTGTTGATTTATTTAACGGACAGGGCTCTCAAACAGCCATCCATCAACAAACGACATGTTGGTAATGAATAATGCATCACTTACCGGGCGGTCACAATCTATAACAAGGGGAGAGCGATCGCGCGGGGAGGGGGGTACAGTTTGGGCAAGAGTGGGAGTGGGTGGGGTGAGGAGGAGGAAGGGGGACACAGAGATTGCATGAGGGCTAGAGAGAATGCCAATGGATTTTTCAGGGTATACATTGCTGCAGTGAACTTCATTTCTTGGCGTAAAGTTGTGAATTGCTGCTCGATATTAATGTCCCTCCGGAGAATCCTGGCACATCTCTTTTACTGCCACATGCGACCAGAAACTGCAGGAACAACAGTAGCGTAAACACAAGATTCTGACACTGTAAAAGAAAACTGGGAGGTTGGGTCATTTTGAGAGTATCTAGAGACACTACATCACCAATATTTAAGTACTGTTAACTTCTTAAATCTTCTGTGCCCCACACTGGAACTGTAAGTAGCCTCAGGGAGAAACCCTGACTACAGACTGTGGATTTTAACAGTATTTTATTGATACTGCACAGACGCTTCAATCACAAACTGAACTATGATCCTGTATGAATTTAAAAAAGTCTTATCACAACTACTCCAAAACAATTATTAAGCATTCTGCCTTTGAATACTTTTAAAGGGCTTCAAATAAAAACCTTTGGGCTTCTTTCTCCCAATGCACCAGTACAGTAAGTATTTTTCTCTAACTCTGCAAGGCCACATAATAATCCACCACTTCTTCTTCCCACTCGTAACTTTCCCTGCATATTTGGCTCCTCTCTTCCATTAGAGATAGCATCTTAGCCTGCGCCCCACAACCACCTTTTCATTTGCAGTCCAAACAGTAAGATGAAAAACCTATAATGGCCAGTGTGTATATTCCGCATGTCAATTTCCCAACCAATCAATAGCAGGCGGGCAATGGCAGGAAGGATGGAGATGAGATGGGCGGGGGGCACTGGAACTGTCTCATTACTAACTAGCAATGGGATTCATGAAAGGATTAGGAAGGTCACTTAATGTTAACCCCAGCTTCGTTTCACATTTCAATATCAAGATTGAATTGGTTAACATTAGACCATTACAAGGGGCACGTGTGTGTTGCAGTCAAGGATTCAGGTAACATGACAAATCTTACAGCAAGAAAAGCTATTCGATACCAAAGGAAGCTGCTTAACTTCATTTGCATTACCAGGTTAATGTTAATGTACTGTTGATGAAACTGAGAGCAATCAAAATAGCATGTAGTACATTTCTCTACACAACACAAAGCATCGACATTCAGAACCAAACAAGCCGTAACACAGCTGGAACACCAGCATTTCAGAATTCAAAGGCATGATGGGTAACACAGAAGCACTGGGGTTGGCCCCATCAATGTAACTGTCCTTTTTACACCCATACATTCAGCCAGTCTTCCTCACAACCCCTCCACTGCCAAGAGAACAACACCCCCTAGTTCCATGCTCCTACCTTTTATACTGATTAGTCAGGCAGAATCAAAGTAAAAAAAAATTTTCTTGAACAGGCTGTGTAAAAAGAAAAGTACTTTCTGCTAAATTGATTAAAAAAGATGAACCACAAAATATTGTAGTAACAGCATGTCTAATCCAAATCAGTGAATCACCAAAGGATTACAACTATCTGAAGAGATACACATGAAGAAACACAAAAGTATATATTAGACAGATCTTCTCATTACTGGCAGTAAAAAACAACAGTGTATCGCTAGGAGTGCAACGATTTAATAGGCTTTGGCTTAGGTTTTAATGGATTTCAAAAAGACCTGAAACCCAGGGTCCCCTGCTGGAATTTATTGGTATCTGCCAGAGCACACAGTTAAACTTGGACTTTGCCCTGTAAACTTTGAGCAGTTTTGAAAGAAGTACAGTTTAGAACAAAGAGGTTGTCATAACAGTTACTATGTTGCTTCTCAACCACCACAAGAAAAGAAAATATTAGCTCGACCTTGGGAATATTCATTTTTAAAAGTTCTGCATTATCATGGTTACAAATAGCTTCTCAGCCTCAGATTTTTTTAGCATTTACAATTCCAAAGCAACTTAGAAGTTGAAACACAGATGCAGGGGAATGCAGACACACACACACACACACACACGGTAAGACGACACACAGTCAGGTTAATTACCTTTCCGTGTACTGGGTGTAAGAAAAAAAAGGTAATGAATGTTCTTTCCTTTTTAGGAAAGTCTGATGCTTGCACTCAGTTATTCATTCCTGTCCTCAGAACCCCCCTCTCCCTGCTTATGTCTTTCTCACCATTTCCATTTCTATCCATCTCAACCTGCTCTAACTTTCCTTGCTTCCTATTTCTCACTTTATCCAATTCCCTTACCCCTCACTCACCCCCAAACACACATTTAACATCTCTCCCTCACCCTTGCTTTTTCTGTCTCATTACTGTCGCAGAGAGAGAGAAGGGAGGGCAGTGTGTGCATCCAGAAGTCTGTTCAATTACACCAGCTGCACGGTTCCTGCTAGGCCGACTAATGGAACGCAGCATGTCACCTGACAGGCTGGCCACAGCGCTAGCTCGACCAGTAAAAAGCTTCATTTAGCTTCTCACAGCTCGAAAAGTTAGCTAGACTAAGGAAAGTCATAGCTTCTAACACTGCAGCGACTGCAAAACCCAGGAAAACCTTCAATATTCAAACTTTATATCAAAACTTATATCATATTGTGTTGTAAATATGTCTGGTATTTTGAGAACTTCAGTTATGGCCTTAAGGAGTTAATTAACTAATATTTTTTAATTAAATAATGTTTCAATGTTTGTTAGTCACTCTGTTTATCCAATGTAATTAATATATAAAATATGTAAATAGAATGAATGGTAAATATGTATTAAATGCATCACTGATGTTGAGTGTAGATTGGTTACCTGGCCTCAGGGGTCTTATGGATGGCAGAGACTGATGTGGGCTTACTCTGGCTTGCAGGGAACTTTGTAGTGGCCATGTCCCTTCTGGACGACTCTGGGGGCTCTGCAAGACAAAAGAGTTTCATTTGAAGCAAGAGCAGCAAGACAGTTTCAAGGATTGCCCCGTTGGTGCACATTGCCAAATTTTTGCATTCATATCGAAGTACTCAAATTTACACAGAAGAAAATCTGATTGTCAACAGACTTGATGTTTTGAGCTGAGATGTTCCTCTGTGTGTAGAACATTAAGCACATAACTCTGATTAACTGAGAATACAAGATTACAACTCACCATGTGTTTGTACACCATTATCTACAGGAGCAGGTGTCGGTTGTGAGCATTTTTCATGCAGCTTCTGTTCGGCAGGATGTACCTCTCCATCTCCACGCACACTGCATGCGATGCACACAACATATTAAAATGGCTTTCATGTGCGACTTGAGTCAGTGCATATGTATGAATTTGATCTGTAAGAGGTAGGGCTGAACGATGAAAAGCTTACAATAATTATTGCAATATTTATTTTCATCAATAGCAATATAACAAATATATATATATTTATACATACAATATATTTTGTATGCATTGTGCAAGCATGTAGAGAAGGTATACTACAAACCACAACCTTCACTGAGGAGCAAAAATGTGTCTTTAAACTAATGACATGACATTTATCAGAATTACCCATAAGATTTTAGTTATATCAATGTGTGAGAAACAGTATTTGAAAAAGGTAGTTGCAGTTGGTCTGTCTGTCTTCCTGTCTACTCTGTTTACCTGGAGGGTAAATCTTGGCGGGAGGGACCCTCCAGCTGTGGATCTCCAGTCCCAGTGTTTGAGCTGCTGAGCTCAGCTTGAGCAGCTTGTTGAAACCTAACAAGAATAAAGGAGGAGAATAAAAAGAGAAAGGCCAGGTTCCACCAGTCTACAATGTCAAAGACTGAAGAAGGACAAGGAAAAGGAGAAAACCCAACATGGAGGAGAAGTTGCTCCTGTCCAAGAGGTAACTATCATATCTAACAACCAAGGACTAGAACAATAAACTTGTGTTAGCTACCAGTGTTGCCACATTAATTCTACCTGCTGTAATCGAGACGCGACTGTTGGAGCTGCTGACTCTGTCTGTTGAGCCTCTCTTCCTGCTCCTCCAGCCGTGCCTGCAGCTTCTCTCTCTCTATCTCCAACTGCATTTTCTGCAGCAGCAGCTGGTGCCTCTTTTCCTCCCAGTCCTCATGACCCAGCAGAGGCCTGGTCAGGGCTTCTTTGGTGTCTGAGCCCAAAGCAGTCCCATTATGCAGCCTGTGAGTAAATACAAATCTTAATTGCTTTACATCTCAAGATTCTTTCAATTTATATCTCGATAAAGTACAAAATTTGGTTAAAACTGGAGTAATTAATGTAAATCATGTGGGGTGATAATGACAACATAGGCTACATCCATACTGCAACGTTATTCATCTTAGAACCCTGGTAGCCAATGCAAATCCCAATTTTTTTCTACCAGTAGTATGAATGGAGCCATAGAGTATTACTCTACCTTTCACAATCATGTTGGCAATTGCGTAGACTAGAGCTATTATCACTTCTCCGTTGCTGTGTTCCATAGCCACTGTCTTGACCACTGGCTTGGCAGCGCTCATATCTGCAGCAGGACTCCACGTGTGGCGCGCTGCACTCCTTTTTGTGAAGCCTGCGCATATTGATTGGCCCATCATTTGGACAGAGCTCATTCGCACAGGAAAGGGAGGCAGGGTTGCTCGATGTCTGTGCTGCTCCTCTACCTCTATTCCCACTCCTGTGCACTTGAGGCTGTCGTGCTTGGGCAGCAGCGAGGCCGAGGTACGAGCCATCAAAGAGTGAGCCATTAGCTTTGCTTTCACTGCTGAGCACCTGGATGGAGAATAAAGAGGACAACAAATTCATTTTAGCCAACTCAGGAAGCCTCTGAAAAATGTATGAAGTATTTCAACCAAAAAACATTAGACTGCTCAATAAAACCCTAATGTAGCTCTGGGCAACACAGCAAAATTTACCAGCACTGAATTAGAAGTCACTTACGAACCTAATTTACTCATGTTGCCATGTGCAGTAAAAGCTTTTCCTGTGTGTTTGCAAGAGCTGTTCACATATCACTTGCACTTAATGTGGTTTACTGTGACTTGAAGATTCTTTTAAGGTTAGATTTTCTTTTCTTTTTTTTTTTAAATGCTACAATGATTCTGTGTTGGGCTCCGAGCACTGCCAACATGCTGCTTTCACCGCACACTTTGTATAGACGTGTTGTTGGACTTTATAGCAGCATAAATGCAAATCATCCTTCAAAAGTGTGAACTAGACATTGGATATGAGCTTAAGACGACTGTTTTCAAGTGAGCATAATGGCAGGTAAGACAAGGTTAGGAGCATTATGAGGAGGAAAGCCCATCCCATAGTCGACTGGGAAAGAGACTGTGACTAATTTGCTGAGGGTCAGAGAGCAGGGAAACACACATTACTCAAGAGCCACCGCGGGACGACGAGGTTGGCCAAGGCATCTATTCTTACAGAGGCTGAAGCCAAAGAGGCGTCTTCACTTTCAAAGTGTCACCTTGACAGAGTTTTCACTACGCCGCAGTAATACCAAACCAGTGACTTAAGTTGATTTCTATAGTGATTTGTTATGCATTATTATGGCACTTGGCAATGGAACAATATGCTGTTACATATGGATGTTCCTGAGCCTGAATACCTGATGGATGGCAGGCAGGGGTGTTCTCTGAAGATATGAGCACATCATCTTTACTACACATCTTCCACTGCATGTGCATGAGCTAAAACATACTATACACTCAGCCTTAACCATACAGTACCTTGTTGTGGGCTGGTGCCTGGCTGAGCTGGGCGATGGACTCGTTGAGCTTCGATTGTTGCTGAGAAAGGTATTTTTGATAGAGACCGAGCAGCTCCTGGCACTCTCTGTACTGCTGCTGCAGGCCTGGATGACCAAAGGTTAAGTAACTAACAACCAGAATTAGTAGAGGTACACACGTTCTTTAATGAAGCAAAGTTACTGACACTTACGACAAAGCTCATGTCCCATTAATATATTTTAAAGATTATTTAACATAAACCACAGTTACTTCAAATATAATTTAAAAAAATAAAAACATCGTTCAAAGCAGAACATTTGTGAGCATGAAAAATACTCCAGTTGGAAATGTGAATCTTAATTCAAATAAGGTCATGGATTGGAAATGTTTTGTTGCTCTGCTTCATCATCGAGAAGTTGTCGACATTATTAGCAATTTTACATGTTGTTACACCTTGGCACCTCTGTTCAGCGTTAGAGTCTCCCTCTCTTGTCTGTTTCGTCTTGATAAAGCTTTTACGCCATATTATGTATAGTTTGCGTAATATGCACGGATAGCTTTACGACAAGGAATTGTCTTTTCTGTATTACTGTCCATTTAGTTTGAAATCAGTCTTGATGGGAAGTTGGCACTCGATGATTCCAAATAAAAATATAATATATATTACATAATTTCCCTCAGTTGCATTAAAACACAAGTAACTTGTCTGTTTTGGAAATGTGAGGATTAGAAAGTAGAGATATTTGTTTAAAAATGGAGCAGGTAAAGTAAAAAGTAAATATAAAAATAAATACTGTACTGTACTGTAAAGTCCAGATACTTAAAAAAGATCTACGCTAATACAGTTAAAAGTATTTGTACTTTGTCTACTCTGCTAACAACCTCATTCAATAACAAAGAATAGAAACTTTAGTCTCAGACATAAAAATACCTATTGATTAAATGAAAAGTACACCAAACCAAAGCTGGGTTAAATATTTTTGATGAAATGGGAAATTGTTTCATAAAGTAGGGATGAAAAGCATCAACTGAGAATGTAACCTTTTGCACAACCACCTTTTTGGCGAGGAAAAATCTCTCTTATGCAGTTTAAATTAAAAAACAATGACAATCTGAATTAAACGCTTGTTCTGCAATCGATTACACATTGGACGAGAAAAGTAGAGAGAACAGCAAAGTTGAAAATGGAGAAGAAGAAGAAGCCAGCAAAATCAAAGTTGTTGTTGTGGCACAGAGCTTTCACCATCTGGGTCGGGCCAAGCTGCGTTGAGCTGAGCTGGGCAGTGCCGTGCCGTGCCAGGCTATCTGCCAGACACAGAGCTGGCAGACACAAGAAAACTAATCTGGAGCGGAACTACTGCTGCGCCTCAGGAGCCCACTAATGACAGTGGCAGCACCACACCACACCAGCACATACAAAGATAATGAGCGAGAGAATGGAGAGACTACACACAGACACACTCGCACACGTCCAATAATCCACCTCAGTCTGACTAACTTTCTAGAACACACACAAACAAAAACAAGAATGTGAGTTCCCCCCCACCTGCACTCAAACAACAACCCACACAAAAACACTCCAATAAAGCAAGTAGTACACACTCTCCCACCAAAGCTGACCATAAAGTGTGTTCCTCCAGGCCATATCTTTTTATGATGGTGGCCCTGCTCCCCAAGCTGATGAGTTTCTCTGCATCCGTTTGAAAAAAAAAAAATCATTCCCCTATTTTAAAGAGAAAAATCAAAGTTCAAAGTGGAGTCTTATTGAAGGAACAGTTGGCGGAACACTTCATAAGAAAACACTTTGGATGTTAGGAGACTTCAATCAGGCTGTGGAAATGAAACAGAGGGAAAGAGAAGAGAGCCGGGGACGACTTTGAATTGGCGACCAGACAGCAGCAGTGAAATGCAATGCAGCGGCTTTCATAAACATTGGGAAAATGTGAGAAAACACTTTGATTGAACCTGCCGTCAAACTAAGGCTCCTCTACCGCTGCACTGATAATGTCCATGGAAGTAGGTCTATATGGAAAGCTTAAGGACATCACAAGGACATCACACCGTGTAAACCAGTGCTAGGAGGTCTGTTTATGCAGCATGAATAAGGGTCTTGAAGGGGAGATACTGAATATGTTTATACGGCTACACCTCACTTCAATCTAAGATAGAGGGCTGTGTGTCAAGTTGCAAAATGTATGCTGCTCATATTTTACCAGAGTCGCATAAAACAACATTTCCATGTGATTATTCAAACCTAAACAAAGTTCTAGACATAAATGTAGTATTATATGCTAATATACGAAGTCCAAATACCAAGTGGGTATGGTAGGATAAAGTCTATACTACCAACAGGACTGCAGCATCATAGTGAGCTAACACCGTAATAAAGGTAACGTGTGTTAATGTGTTGACAGGTCCCTGGACAGCGAAAGCTAGGTAATCTGAACCGAGTGGAGGAACACTGATAAGATTGCACCTCCCTGCCCGTCGCTACACTAAACATGCTTCCTCCATAGCCTTGGATGTCAGCCAATGGGGCCAAGCACTCGGCAAGCCCCTACTTTACATCAGAGCTGCAAAGTGCCAACAATGAGTTACTCCTCCCCCCTGCTCCAAAAATACTCAGAATCAAGGGCTCGGGTTGAAGAGGCTTCAGACGGGGCCTGTCAAAATGATTCACTTCCCTGTCAGGCTGAGGCTCAAATGAAATAATGAAATCCACTTCAAGGTGGAACAAATTTGCACAGGAGGGGGGAATATTTTAAAGCCTGTTTTAGCACAGTGTGCCAAACAGATTGAGCCCGAGCAGGAGTGTGAGGGGAAACGGGAGGAGACTGATGTGTATGAATGTGTGTGTAAGGAGGCAATGACGGGGAATTAATGGAAGACGACAGTTTACATAACTGCTTCAATATGACTGAATCAGGAGAAAAGACACGAGTGCAAGTCACACAATAAAGCAATAAATAACTCCACATGTCAGCGAACAATTATTTTGGAAACGGCTTTAAAATTCCAAGAGCAAACGTACAGAAAACCATTCTCATCAGAGACATTCTCAGCCGTCTTCATTGTTATGATCACAACTAAAATGTAATGCGAGTTGTCACAAAGTAAGTGGTGTCGGGGAGAATGGGGAGACATGACATTTGTATAAATTATCGTGTGTGTGTGTATAGAATATGTCAGCTGCAAGTTGACATATTCCATGCACAAGCCAACAATTCACAAAGCCAAGAATCCACACAATACATAGTAAAAGGTGTGCCAACACCAACTCCTTTCAATTTTGATTATTTTATGAGAGATTGAATGCATTATGTATTATTTATTCGACATTAAGCTGACAATAGTTTCACTTAGATTTGATTGCATTCATTTAAGCAGTTAAGCAGTGTCAGTCAACAATAGAAAACACCTATTCCATGAATAAATGACATTTACCTTCACAACTAAACTTCAGCTTCAAAAGGCAGCAGCTCAGTGAATTTTTATATTTTCAAAAACTTCCCTGATATTCAGCTCAATATACTGGAAGGCTCACAAAAAAGTTCTTAATTCAAAAAGGTTAAGCCCATGGCATCTACCATGCATCTTATCTGTGCAAACACTAGTCAGAAGGTAGAGCTTTGATGGGAAGAAACAGATTAGAACTGGGTTTAATTTGTTTTTAACACCTGCAATAAATGAAGTGCATCTTGCACAGCTCACAGCTTTAAACACATAACTCATTCCTGCAATAAGGTAAGATACACAACACTCAGAGTTGATATCAAGGAATAATAGAAGCTTAATTTGTTGAAAAAAACTAAAGTGCTAGAATTTTCCAGAGGCAATCTTCTAATGTACGTTTAAAACAAAAAGCACACTTGATGGAACCAGATTTCCAAATCGTAAATGCCATCCAGCCGAAACCTGGGAGGTTATAAAGGGATTTAACGCTGGCAATCCTCTATCACAACATGTAGCACTTTTCAATGACATACCCTAACAGGGCTTTTATTCCCCTCTCTATCGCCTCAGGATTCCCTCCAATTATATCAATGCAATAAATTGCATTAGCCGCAGCATCTGCTGTGCCTTGTTCTGGATACAGCACGGAGAATGGTGCACAGCGTTAGGAACGCCACCTTGACTTCTGCCCATGCCAACATGCCTTGAAGTACAAAAGGCAACCTTCCTTTGTGAAACTCAATTTTCAGTCTTGTGTGCCAGTCGCTTCCAAATGTCAGCTGAACACCCCAAATATCAAGGGTGCTTTTTCCCTCTCATCCTAGATGGCTCGGGGCTAAAGTATAGCCATACATTCTTTATATCCCTGACAACCCTGAATCTTGGGTAGATAAGATAAGCTGGGGCGTAATGGAATTAGACTTGACAAGACCAATTCAGTGTGTTTGCCTTTGGTGTCTCCTTAACCTTTCAGAGAAGTGCCGGACCCCTCTGCCTGAGAAGAGCCTTCATGACTCTTGCATGCACTTTAAAAGACTACGTTATCCCCCGGAGGTGTTTGGATCCCAACACTTTTTCCTCTCAAATACCTTTTTAATGGAGTTTAGAAGTTTGGTGTAAATGCCAAGTCTCCGAGCCAAAGTGCCCTTAATTGAGTTGTGCTTTCCTAATTTTCCCCGCCGCCATTGCCAATCGTGCAATTTACCAGCCATGTCAATTACTCTTCATATTTCGCAGTGTTTTTAACCTAAATTGACTGCTGGCCATGATATGGTGTGACCTGAGCGGAATTGTTAAGAAGACAGTAGGTTGCGGGCTGCAATAAAAAGCATACTATTACTCTTGTGTCAAATCTTTTACGAGATAATCAATAAATTGGTGATAACTTTCATTTCACTTTGAAAGGAGGAACTGAAAAAATATCATTCAGTTAAAATGCAACATTCCCAGAGAGATACAAAACCATATGATGAAATGAAACACTGTCATCCTCTCAGGATATATCAAACTTTGTCTCTGGATGACGATGAGTTGATTTAGAAGGTTTGAGCTATGTCTCCAACCATGAAATTGATTCTGTACACAACAACAGATAAGCTACAGCCACTCACAAAAGACAACTGCAAAAGCACAAATAAATTTAAATGCATCTGCTCCATTTCTCTGCCTTTTGTGTCAGATTGAATAGTTTCAGCCCAAGACTGTAAATAGCTTTACTTAAGACAACACTGCCCCCTGCAGACTACCCTGTGGAATAGCTCATTCAGCACTAGAACCATGTAGCCAGCAGCAAAACATTTGTGGAACTGTACGAACATCTTCCAAGCACAGCCACCCATGGTTTTTATATACAGTGTATGATCTTTTTGGTTCCTCCTTTTAGGGTGAAGTTATCTTATCTCTTATCTTATCAGGTAGCATTATCAAACGTTATATAAACATCTTCCATAGCGATAGAACCATCACACCCTGGAATTCTCAAGAGATGCCTGGTTTTCTCAGTTGACCACAGTTTAGATTAGTCAGTAGTACAGACACTACAGTTAACTGAATAACAATCAACGCACCAGACAATTAGGTTAATCAAACAAAGTGTTTTCAACCCCTGTGGCTCAACAGAACTGCATTAGTTCACTGCTCTACTTTGAACCAGTCTGCAACTTGAAAATGAATATCCAATGCAGTATTGTTTCATTAAAAAACAATATAAATATAACAAATCATCTTACCCATTACTGTCAACTCACTGTTGAGTTTCTGTTTGTTTAGTTATTTTAAAAGGATACTCTCCCTCTCCTGTGCAATGACCACGTTCTGTTGCTCCAGTTGTTGGATTTTTTGTTCAAAATGTTCCTGCTCATCTTTCAGACGCTGCACTGACTCTTCTTTCTCCTCGCTCACTCTGGAGAACAGGACACAAACAGTCATTAAGGACACTGCAGTGGAAAATTAGACAATCTGGTGTCACTTTAAATTGTTTCATTATGCATCTATATCAACCTCAACACTATCTCAGAGTTCAGTGTGATAAATTGTTGGCTACCTGGCTAGTTCTTCGATGAGGTTTGCAATTCGACGCTTATCTTCAGAACAGAGGTCCTTCAGGCAGACCTGGCTGCTTCCTCTGCTGGTCACAGAAATAACCTAAAAAATGATTCACAGGTGTAAGAAGACATTAACACAAACTAATGATGATATTCATTCATATTCAGCTTCAACGCACTCCCTCGCTAATCAGATTATCTAAATGTCTCCCTCCATATATTCAAACATTTGATCCTACATACACAGGACAGAGGACAAAAAAACTATACAAGAAGGTTTACCTGTGGTGGGGGGAGAAAAGCATCAGATGCCAGGGATGGTGTGTGGCCTGACACTTTTTCCTGAGTATCACCCCCAGAGCGATCACTTTGTAAGTGGCCCTGTTTTTTGCTACTTCTCTTTAAAGTAACATCACTCTTGCCACCAGAGCTACGTCTCACTGCAGCCCGCATCTTTGTGCCCCCTCTACTGAATGAACTGGTGCTTTCTGGTCCCAGGCTGAAAGGGGTCCGAGTGATCACTCCTCCATCCACTCCTGAGACAGTTGATGGGCAAACAGAAGTAGAGGATCCCATGAGGTAAAAATACATGCAAATCATCAGACAGTGCTAAAACAATGTTATTGAGACTCACCAGGAACAAAAGCCAATGGTTGCTCGTCATCTGATACTGAAGAAGACAAGACACTCATATTAACATGTAGTCAACTTTGATTAAACTTGGTAATGCATGTACTTTCTCACCCTAACTGTAAGATTGATCGTTTCCTACTCTGAGATAATACTCAGATAACTCTTCTTCTACAGTCACAAGAAGAAAACAAATACAGAACACTAGCTAACACATTACTACACGTGGCCTTTGTGTTACAGCTCAGCAGCATGATGAGATCTCAGGGTAATGACAAGAGTTAATACTATTCCCACGGAGTTCCAATATAGCATAGGCAGCGATAAAGTCTAATAATAAATTAGCTTAACTCCACGTAGCTAACGAGCTCTCGCTTCCTCAGAAATAACAAACACGCATTGACACAGAGGTTATTTCTGTGAGACTTAGCTTTACCTCTCTTCGTGGGATATGTGCGAATGTGCACTGCGTAAGAAAGTTAAGGGAGTTAAGTAAAAGTTAATATACCGTCATTCATCCAAAATATTCCCGAACTTCCACTTCTTGTTGCTCTTGCCGCCATGTTGAATCAACCGCCACCACTCCCTGAGAGCCAAGCGCGTTGCTAAGGAAGCCCGGCCCCGCCTCCCCGCTTCAACTTAAGAGCCAATTGGTTCTGCTGCAGAGAGGCGACTTTCCATTGGCTCAGACACCTGTCAGTTATGTGTCAAACCCGACTTGTTTCCCCATCCGAGGCGCGTAAAGACCCGCCCCTACGCTGACTCTGATTGGCTATTACGATAGTGATGCTGATGATTGGTTAAAAAGAGGGAAGAATATCAGGATAAGCCAATCAGATGCACTTTGAGGGCGGGTCTTCTCCTGCTTGGGGAAGGGGACCGTGAAGCGTTGTCAGCTGATGGAGCCGCAGCGAGGTGACAGACACAGAGCGGATAGAAGAATATCAATGATAATATTGTGAGGAGAAGCTCACCCTGTTCTCCCAATGGAAGAATCTAAAGGAAACCTGGCGTTCAAAGGTGTCGCTGAGAGACTGACGCTCGGCATCACAAGAATACTCGGTGTGTATCCGCAGTCCACGTCCACATGAGCTAGCTAACACGGTGGTGTCTTGATGTGTTCACTTATGATCTCCCTCATGTGTCAGAAAACATGCCTGGTGTCGTCGACGTGCGGTTCGCAGAGAGGGAGCCTGCAGAGAAGAGGAGCCTGTTGTCATGGGAACAGGTGACAAATATAGGGACATCTCAAATATCACTTCTCGTGGTGTGAAGGTGGTTAAACATTTGAGCAACATTGTGCTCTGTGTCTCTACCTTTTAGAAAAACACGTGTATTTTGCCAGAAGACCTGCGAGATTTCTATCTGACAACCGATGGATTCACTCTGACCTGGAGTGTAAAACTAGACAGTAAGTGACTATTAGTAGTTTCATTTTTTCATATTCCATCTCACAATTCTTCAAATTACAGCCTATTACTTATCCCTCAATCACTCTCTATCTTCCTGTGTGTGTGTTTCAGATGAGTGTGTTCCCTTAGGATGCATGATGGTCAACAGCGTGGCCAGGCTGTGCCCACTCCTCCAACCCGTGTCCCTATTCTCTCTTCCCAACGCCCCCTCCCTGGCAGACCTGGACTGGGAGGAAAACGACACTAAACCTGGTAAACGCTCACCTGTCAGAATGCTGATGTGGGCTTAACGCAACAATTACAGCGTGTCCCCTTCGATTAAGTCTGTTTACATGTGCCCACTTGTGCAGAAAGCAGGCTAATGAATGGAATTTTGATTGGAGAGTAAATTGTTATTTAAGATTCATTAATGCTGCCCGCCAGGGTCGGAGCGAGCGCCTGCTGTGCCCCATTTTGATTCCCGGAGCCGCATCTTTGAGCTGGATTCCTGTGGTGGGAATGGCAAAGTGTGCTTGGTCTACAAAAACTGCACAGCAGGTCTTTTGTTTATTGCATCTTTCCCTCTCGACATCAATATTTTACCTCCTCGTGTAAAATAATTGCGCATGATAGATGTTTTTCTTTGTGTTTTCTAGGTGTAGTAGCCCAGCAGAGTGAAATCTGGTTCCTCGATTGCTCACTGTGTTGGCATTTTCTGACAGCAACTTTCACCTCTTACTACCGACTGATGATAACCCACCTGGGCCTGCCTGAGTGGCAGTATACCTTCACTCCATATGGCCCCAGCCCCCAGGCCAAGGTAGCAGAAGGCCCAAATCACTCTTAAAAGACAATCAGCCTCTGCATGAACCAGTCAAATGAAATTAAATGATTAGGTTTTAAGTGGCACATGAGAGCTGACTTCACAGGGAGGAAACACACACATATGACTTAATCACTGCATAGTGCCTTTACTTCCTCAGTGTGAATGAATTTATCATCAATATCACAGCTTGGCAATATACAGAGAGGATTCATTAAAATTGTATTATTCTCATCGGCAAATTTAGTCACAGCTTCATTTTAGTAGTTGGTGGAAAGATCACCTCACTTCTGTCGGTGCCTCAGGTCTTTATCCAGGTCACTGCTCAGTATCATAATCTGTTGCACCCATCACTGTAGCAGCACCTACTGCACGCTGCAATATGTCTAATATATCTAACTTCTCAGTGATTGTCATTCCCACTACTTTGCATATTACCCTTCAGAATTTCAAATAGCCTAAACCATTCCCTCTTTATTTCTGTCAGAGTGTGTAGTATTAGTCTGTTAACACATCACTGATGGATGCACCATTAACATTCTTTGATTATCTTATAATATGGTCGTATTCATCCGTCGGAAAGGAATGATATTTTATAGGTTTTTGCGATTATATAACTTTGGTGAATCTTCCTCAAAACACTGGTAAGAAGAAGGAAGGAGGATTTTTAGGACATGAATACAAAAAAAATAATTTGGCCTAATGTGCAAATGTTCAGCCCATTGTGCTGTGGATTAAAACCTTCAATTTAGACTTTGTGTATGTGTATTGAGAATGTATCATTAATAACACTTGGAATCATTGCAGGTGTATAAAATACATTTTATTCAGTTTTTACCTTTGCAGTATGTTAAAATATACATTATAATAATATAACAACATTGGTTGATCTAACATTTTAGAGACAAACAAGGGTTTTACCTTCACATTTGATTTTTCAAGTCTTCTTAAGTTTTATATGCACGGAATCCTAAAATTCCTGACATTGTAAACTATAATAGAACATAGAGTAATGTAGGTAGTGAGACCTATGCAATTTCTCTGTTGTGTTCCTATTGTTACCTCCAGTTCCTAATGTTTTTTTTGTCCAGATGACCAGGCAAGTGACACCCTATCTATGTGCTGTTCCCTATGCAGCAGTGGGCATCACTGTACCAGCCGCTGACCTTCAGCATTGAGCACAGCGTGGCTGATGCTGCAGGAGATTCTCATCTTAACAAACTGGATCCAACCAAGGCCTTCAAAGGGAAAGCAAAGGCGCCCGCACCCAAGAAAAAACCACCATCACAGTGCAGCTTAGGCAACGCTGCCAAGAGCCAAGGGAGCACAGGGAGACAAAGTGGGGCAAAGCGGTGAGATGGTTCCCTATCAAGGAAAATGTTGTAATCATGTGGGCATCATCACCATGCCTTAAAAAAATTAATCTTGGACTGCAGAACGTCGGGACAGACAACCAGGGTTTTCCTGCCTCTACACATGGCTGAAGTGGTAACAGCTGTTGGAGGCAGTGCAGCATGTAAACAGTTATTCTAACCTTATCTATGTGTAGGTGGTTTTTACATTTAAATCACAATAATTCCATTTTTTTTCTTTTTACCTTTCACTGATATTATGATAGAGATGGAGAAATTATGCTTTATGATACAACCAAAGTGCTTCAGCAACAGATTCATTATCTGCACCCTCATTTAACTCAGTGCTCACTGGGGACACCTGCTGGTAAAAACAACTCAAATCAGCCAAGTCAAGAGGTATGATCATGTGCTGCTGGCATAGTAATACTGACACGTAGCAACATTATGTACCATTACTATAACTACAAAAGGACTCATTAATACTCAATAAGGGCACTACATTACTTTATAACGGTCAGCATTATCCCTAGATTTGGTTTGCTGTTGTAAATATTTCAATTTGAATGTAATATACAGCAATAACACATATATATATAATATATAAATTTATGAAAGAAGTTTGAAAAGAATTGTTCAATAAAATATCTGTGACTGTGAAATTGAAAGAGCAAGACTGAAAATAATACTGTTCAGTTGGTCATGCGAATCACTGCAATTAATACAACCCACAATTCAGAGCGTCTGGTGACTAAAACGTTTCACAATAAGTGTGTGTATGCAAAGACTGGTAACAAACCATTGAACAAAACATCAGGCATCTTGGATCCACTGTATTTCTGCAGTGCTTCACTCATACTGTGTTATAATCATGTAAACTTAAAATTTTAAAACATGTTTGAGTCAAGGCCTGTCGATATTAACATGAATTAATGACATCTGCTCTAGTAAAAAATGTTATTTCATTTATTAGAGCAGATCAAGTTTGGGGGTTAGATGAAACCCACTAACTCAATTATACACACATTTTGCCTTGAGGCTGCTGAGTGCTGGATTGTTGCACAGAAAAACTTATGTTATGTTTGAAGCTACCATTCCTATTTTATTTTCAGAAAAATACATGTTTATTTTATGTGCAATGTATTGGGGCTGTGTGTTTTTCTTCACATACACTGTAATTTCCAAGCTCATGCAAGTGGTCTCCTGCTGATTGCTGTAATGGATGATACCAAGGTTACATATGCTGCTATAGCCTCAATAATATACACGTTTTCAACCTATTTTTGATTAGGCACCATAAATAGCATGGTTAGGAACAAACCATAGTTGATGTCAGTGTCATGGTTCACATTGTCATATAGTGTGTTCTATGTACCACTGTAGATGGTTATGGTAAATGTAATCTCATAAAACACACTAATTTTAAAATTGTTTGATAGATTCAAAATAAATTTGTGCCATCTTTTGTCGAAGTATCTCATTTTGGTCTCTAGTTTTTTTTAATTCCAATAATCATGGAATATTTCTCCTATTTACAGATATCCTAGCTTAGACTTTAACATAGCTGAGTTTCTCACACAATTGCATTTTCACAATTGTTTTTATGAACAGTGTCCTCATTCAACTCCTCCAGCAACCCCTCACCCTGTTCAGCCTCGTGTGGGTGGTGTAATTCCACCAAGGTCCTGTAGATCCCTGCACCCAGCACACCTCCAATGGGGGGAGCAACTAGGGGCACCCACCACCATCCATTTCCAGCCCTATAGATAAAGACAGAGAGGAGAAGACAGAAAAACATTTAGTATGTATTTTAGCTTTTTTCCCCTCCTTTGTTCAGTTAATAAACAACCAGCGATAACCTTGCTTTGTTTGTTGAAAAGCAGAACAGGTTATTTAATTATTAACAAAGATGATTGGGTGTCAAGTGACCCTAAGTTGGGGTGACATTCAGCAACAGCAAACCCTCCCCTTAAAGACAATACATCGCCCCTGTGCACCTGAACACATCAGTTCCCCAGCCTGCTATGGCAGTGAAGACCCTGGGTGCGATATCTCTGTTGGGGTTGATGGCGTAGCCGCTGTTGCTGCCCAGAGAGATGCCGATGAGCAGCACCAGGAGACCCACCACGGCAGGTTCGCTGCCTGCTGCGGCCGGCTTGTTCCTCTGGTCGGACAGAGCCATCAGGCACAGCAGCAGCATGGCTGTGCCAAACACCTGGAAGACACACACAACAAATATAATGTCATGATAGATGAGTGTAAAATAATAAAATGATGGAGGTTTCAGGCAGAGTGATCATCCAATTACACCATACCTGGTCAATGAATCCAGACATCACAGAGAGGTATGGTGCTGGATATGTGGCAAAGATACCAGCAGTGGCCCTGTCACCAGTTACTGTCAGGTTTCCTCCACAGTACTCATGGATAGCATCTGCATGTGGAGACAATATTGATAAGACAAATATGACGACAGATATTACAGCAATCATTTACCAGTAATCTATACGATTTTATAGCAGTACAGGGTTCAGTGTCTCAGTGTGCTTGAACATTCAGTGTCTGCTCACCATAATAGACAGCATAAATTGTCCCTGCTGCCAGAAATGATCCCAACAGCTGCGCAAAGACATACACAGGCAACATCTTCCATGCAAGGCGACCATACGTGCACATTGTGATCGATACCGCAGCGTTCATATGTGCCCCTAAAAGATGAGAAACACAGTATATGAGCTGCACAATAGCTGTTATAATGTTTATGAGGTTCTGCATGAGGTCATCTACCACCCTTACCTGAGACTTTACCGCCAACATGTGCCCCCATAGTGACACCAAGTGCAAAACCCAGGTTGATGCTGAGGTACTGTCCGAACGCTCCCTGTCCTGTCACTACCTGGGCCACAGACCCCAGGCCAAACGCCTGAGAGCCAACAATAAACAAGGCAGGGTCACAGATGATGATTACAGAGAAGGGATGATAATGAACTAGGAAACACTCCAACAAGCAGCACATAAAAAACTACCAAACAGATGTTGGACACACAAACAGTTCAGCCAATTAATTCAGTGTTAGAGAGTGTTTTAGTTTAGAACAATGTTACCATGCTGCATTCAAAGAAGTGAAACGGAAGAATTTGATTTCATTTAAAGGTTCAGTGTGTAGAATTTTGTGATATCTAGTATTGAAATTGCATGTTGCAGCTGAACACCCCTCACCTCACCCTCCACTTCCAAACATGAAAAGGAACCTGTGGTAGCCTTTAATTGTCATAAAAACTCAAAAGGTGTTTACTGTGTCCAGTCTGGACTAATGTAAAAAACACGGTGGCCTCCATAAAGAGGGTCCCCTCAATGTAAATATAAAGTATTTGAATATAAAGGACCTTTTCTGGGGTAAAGAAAATTACAATTCATACAAATTAGATTAAACGAACTAGTGAAAACATCATGAGGATCATTCTACATTGAATTTCTGCTAATAGATCCCTTTCACCTGAATCTTACACACTGGACCTTTAAGTCAGTGAACGTAGGCAGAGTGGAAAAAAGCTGACACTGACAAACTGCACACAGGAAACAGGAAACGTGTAGTTCCTCTCATAAGACTCGAGCATATTAAAAAAAACAAAACAAGTCTGGTTTCCAATGTGCAAACACAGCAAATATAAGAAATAAAATGTGACCATGCATGAGCTCATATGCTTATCAAGCTATCTTGTGCTCACTGGTTATGTGTAGTTCTTCCATCCTTCTAAGTATAGGGTTTTTGTAACAGCTGACAGATAACATGTGACTTTTGCAACCCTCTCCATGTGGCCCGTTGCCTGACCACTCCTCTGGTAACCCTACATTTCCTGGTTCACTCACTTGAATCCACCCGTCCCAACATACAACCCCCGTCATGTGACTGCCAAACGTGCCTGTGTTTGGACGAAGGCGCGCGTCATCAGGGTCAAGAGCATGACATTAGTAAAAGCTGGAGCCACAACGTGGTCTTAAGAAGAGCTTGACAGTTAAAAGTTAATAGACGGAGAATAGTTTAAAGTCACATATTATTACAACAGAGGCTGTCAAAGTAAACATGACTGGGAACATCTTTTATTATAAAGTCTTACCATCATGACAAACGTGCAAAGACATTCAGCAAGTCCAACTCGAACAAGGTTGTTCTTCAGCCAAACTCTGGGTCGAGTTACTTTAGCTCCTTTCCGCTGAGAGACCCCGACTTCTACTGACAAGTCCTTCATTTCCTTTTCCTCTCTGCTTTGCCCAAAAAATAGAGCTCAAGTTCAAACCTCCTCTAAGAATTATTTACGATGTTCCTCCCATGTCAGGTAATAGTCCACAAACAGCAATCTGCTCCTGTTTAACCCCTCTCCTCGAACTTCACTCCTCTCACTTTCTCTTTGTATAAGCCTGTCTCCCTCCCCCCTCTCTCTCCCTCTCTGTCACACATACCCATTGAGGTTTGTCCACAGTTTATAGCTCTGACCAACCCCCCACCCCTGCACAGTCACACACATCCTCCAATGGCTTTGCATTATCTGGGGATACTTGGCCAATAAGGGAAAAGGTTTAAAAAGCAGTGCTGTGCAAAACAAAAATATTTGCTGCCACCTTTAAATTGACAGAAATGCTAAGACATACTATCTAATTCAACCTTTTTCTTTGGGATGAAAACAAAAGCATATGCAAGATATTTTGAATTATATGCATCCTGAGTTAAATTCCTACCAAATGTAATGCTGACTTCAAGGCAAGCTGATGTTTTGTGTCAGTTTGAGTTATTTATCAGTGAATGTATATGGGCAACATGTGAAGGTTTATAGAAGCAATAACATAGACCAGTGTGCAAAGAAATGTATGTTGTTGTAGTAGAGATGATTTCAACCTGTGCATCTAACATTGTTTAATACGTCATATTCAATATACATTCTACAAAATGTTTTACAATATTAACTCGAGTTTAAACATTAATTTAAAAAACTTGATTGATTGAGGCAAACATTCAAAACAACAGAAAGTATCATGGGCTCGCAGTCGAACACAAAACTGCTTATGCACTTGAAACGGGGCTCTTTTCATTTGCTAACAAGTTCACAGAGTAAACAGCAATTGATTTTGCAGACCTCTGCTCTTGGAAAGTCACTTGTCAATGTCACTTGATGGATAAATAAACCTCATTATCAAATCAAAATTTTTACACTTTGTGTTAAGGATGTTCTGATGTGTACAACTAAAGTAAAATAAGTTATTAGTGATAAGAAAAGCTGATGGACACCAGGGGTCTGATTTGAAGCAATTCTTGAAAGTTTTAACATTTGTAGTTGTATGATTCAAGGACTACAGAAGATACAAGTTATACATGTGAGACCAGTGAGTTCATTATTTAAAGTGTCTCCCGATATATCACATATTTAGGTTTTTCAGTGTGTTTTGCATCAGTATTTAATATTTGGTCTATTCAGTAACTTTTAACAAACATTATAACTGCTTAACATCAGCATATTAGCATATTAACATTAGCATTTAAACCACCCCTGCCTATAGCATGCCTTCATACTCTTTCTAAATGTGAGATTTGGTTGTCAAACAGGTGATGATCTCAGGTGATGATCTTCCCATCATTTGCCCGTATCTTTTTACATGACAGTTCTGAACAATCCTACAGTGGTCTTCATCTCACCAGTCAAACAGGGGTTCTGTGTCTGCTTGTTATCTGGTGTACCCAAAGAGTGATAATGGGGACCCCTTTCATTTTGCATTCTCCCTTTTATACACATTCTTAGCAAACGCTTTCTTCCATGTATATGCTGCCTGTTATGAAACTACCAACCCTGGACAGCTGAGTCCAGGTATTGCTTGCCTCAAATAAACACAAGCAAAACAAACAGAGTGTTCATGGGAAAGCAGCATGTGACAAAACTAATTCTGCCATCTGCTGGTTCGCTGGTGGAATATCTAAGCCTAATGCAAGGAATCTTGGTAACCCTTATTTTAACTTTTAAAGACACAGAGATCATCTTGCATACCTTCATCTCATCTCAACATCTGGATATTTTTTATCTGCCTGAACCATACAACTATTGAGTGTATTTGGAGACTTGGAGTGGCCTCAGAGTTGGTTCTGACCCAGCTCTTTGCTGGGCGCCACCCCCTCTCCCCATTTCACAATTACATGGTCATCTCAATAGTGCCAAAAAAAGCACAAAATATCTTGTGGCAATGGATGTTGCCACCGGAGTCTTGCCGCAACAGCCAGAGTCAAACCAGTTGCTTTTCAACAACCTTTTGACTTTATAACAGGTAAAAACATGAATCAAAATAAACATAAACTTGCCAGCAGCTTAATCTCTCAGTGTCTCTTTCATCATGTCTTTACGTATGTCTCTTCGTGTGTCTCATGTGAGTTCCTCATGCATCCCTTACGTCTCCCTTCTGCAGTTCTGCTGCTGCCTTTTGTACCAGAGGATCGATCAGCTAACAGTCTTCAGCTGGCTGATTAATCTTCTGGTACAAGTGGAGGTTCTCCCCGGGTCACCTCCATGCCCACATACCCCCATCACCAACTTTAGGCCAGGGAGCCTTACTCCCAGCAAGGCAACAAAATTCAGTTTGATGGTGAACATTCAAGGTTGAATCTAAAACATTCGGTTGTGAGTTGAGCTAAACAAAGGCGTGAGAACAAAAAGGCAAATGCAACTCAGGAAGTCCTGGGTAGTATTATTTACGAATAAGTACTCTCGCAGGTCCGCTTCCTGGGAAAGTTGATTCCATGTCTAACATGTACCTGATAATAAATGTCTCAGCACAGACCTTTGTGTCATGTAGAGAAAAAACGAAATGGATCCAAATGCTTTAAGAAAATATAAAATAAAAATGAAGTAATTGTAGCTGGGAATTTGACTCCATCCGGGCCCCCCTCAGGCAACTCTCTACACCCCTGATTAGGACGTTCACCGAACTTGTTTATAGAAGTAAAAAAGTAAGTTTGTGCTCATCATAATGTTTATTTATGCAAAATTAGCCAGCTACAGAATTAAAACCAGTTTAACCTGCAGTTACTGTTTCCAAACGTACTTATGTATGATATGTTTACATTAAGCTACATTGGGTTTCTTCTATGACTTTGTTTCAGTTTTTATTACGTATAAATTTAACAACATATGGCAGTTTCAATAGCATCACACAGTATATGGGCTTTACATAGAAAGATGCACACCATGTAGGCAATTATATAACTTACAGAGACAAGAAGACAAGTGAAGTAAATTGGTACCAAAAGAAAATAAGATAATCAAGGGGTTTCAAATTATTCTAAGGCATCAGTAAAACATGTGGCCTCCTTTTTTGCATTRKKGAAT